TTACAAAAGAAAAGGGTCATTAATCTTAAGAAAGTTCAAGTTAATGTTAACATTCAACCTAGCTTGAAATCAACAGCCTTGTATTGTGATGCTAAGGTTTACAATCGAACAATTCCGTTAATCATTGATAGTAGTTCTTCTGGAAGTGTTGTCACTTCTCATCTACTAAACGATCTTGGAATAAGAATCGAACAACTATCAGTAGTAAATATAGTCAATATTCATGGAGAAAGTAAACATACAATTGGAGAAATTTCCGATTTTTCATTTAATATCAGTGGTATTAAAATTCCTATCACGTGGTTGTAACAGATGCCAGTTCATATTGTGCTATTGTGGGAAATGACTAGTTGTCTAAAGTAAATACAACTATCGATTGGAATAAATCGGAAATGACTTTAATATGGAAAAACAAAGAAATTGTTGTTCCCATAGAATATTGAAAATTAGCTAAAATGCCATTAGCTAAAGAACAGGTTGTCACAGTAAGGAATATTGAAGATGAAGATGATGAAGCTGAGGAAGAAATAGAGGACGATTTTGAAAAAGAAGAGTTGGAAGAACAAATTTATACAATGACAACGTTTAGTGAAGATTTTGAAGAGATACATGATAAGTTGGAGTTGGAATGGGAAAGTGTGACAGAAGATGATTATATTGATGAAGATAAGAAGGTAGTTTCGTATGATATAGGGCCCGTAGCAGGTCTTATTGCTATGCAAGAAGAGGAAGATTGGCCTATCTCTGATTTGTTCGATTATTACTATGAAAAAGGAAGCTGCTCTAATGTTAAATATAATTTAGGAGAAATCGAGGAGGATCAAAGAAAGCGATTGTTGAAACTACTTATAGAAATCCTAATCTCTGTGCTTAAGATATCTCAGAATTGGGCCAGACAGATATAATTCAGCATTGTATTCCTACTCAAGACGTATGGCCAATTCGTCAACGATCGTATCGGTACTCTTCCGCAGAGAAATGATTTCTAAAAGAAGAAATTAATAATATGTTAGATGAGCAGATCATTTGACCATTCACTAGCCTGTGGGCATTGCCAGTGGTGTTGATAAAATAAAAGAATCGAAAAATGCGATTCTGTGTTGATTATAAGAAGTTAAACGCTATAACTATTAGGGATAATTACCCATTGCCACGAGTCGACGAACTTTTAGATACCTTGAATGGATCATTGTGGTTTACTTCTTTAGATTTAGCTAGTGGATATTGGCAAGTAGAAATGTTTGAGAAGGATAAAGAAAAGACCACATTTATTTCTCCTTATGGTCTTTACGAATTTAACGTTATGCCTTTCGGTCTTATGAATGTGCCAGCAATATTTCAAAGATTAATGGATCAAGTCTTTAACGATATAATTGGGAAGTTTGTTGTAATATATCTCAATGATCTTAATGTTTTCTCAAAATCATTTGAGAAGCATTTAGCACATTTAAGGAAGTCTTTAAATGATTACAGCAAGCGGGATTAAAAATCAAACCTCAAAAATGCCACTTTGCTTGAAAAGAATTAAAATTTTTAGGATATGTTGTTAGTGCGCAAGGAATTTCTATAGACTTAGAAAAGGTTCAAGCCGTTCAAGAATATCCGATACATCGAAATGTGAGGCAACTATGAGGTTTTCTGGGATTAGTTTCTTACTATAAACGATTCATCTCAGATTTTACTAAAATCACTATGCCTTTGAATTCATTATTACGGAAGAACATTGGATATCACTAGACAGCAAGTCAACAAGAAGCCTTCGAACAATTAAAAGCAAAGTTTGTTACAGCGCCGATTTTAGCTTACCCAAATTTTGCAAAACCGTTTATTCTTTTTACAGACACATCGGGTTTAGCTTTAGGGGCCATCCTTTCTCAAGTAGACGATAATGATAAAGAAAGGGTAGTTGCCTATGCAAGTCGATCTTTAACCCCAGCCAAAAAGAATTATTCAGTAACAGAAAAGAAATGTCGTGCTGTTGTTTGGGCTGTTTCTTACTTTAGGCCCTATCTTCACAGAGTTTCCTTTACCCTTTCTACTGACTATTCTGCTTTAAAATCGTTATTTTCTCATTGGTTATCCCAAAATCGACTAGCCAGATGGATTCTGACCTTGCAGGAGTATACGTTTACAACCATTCACCGACCTGAAAAAATTCACCTTAACGCCGATAGTCTTTTACGAATTTAAAGAATCGGGTTTTAATTTTCTTTCTTCTCTTGATATATTTTTCGATGTCGATTTCAGATTACCCTAATTTTGATTAACAGAGACTTTGTGAAATTAGAAACGTATTATCTATTTTTAAGATACCTTAGCGAGTTTACAGTACCTTCTAATTTTACAAATGCACAGATTAGAGCCCTAGAGCATAAAACACGCCATTACTTTGTTCGAGACAGATTATTATATAAAAAGAATCCTCGATATCCCCTCAGACCATTACGAATATTAAAACCCCAAGAAGTTGAGCCTATCCTGCATACGATGCATTCGGATCCATTGGCGGGACATTTTAATAAGGAAGCAATATATCAACAGGTTATTACTTGATATTTTTGGCCACAGATGGGAAGTGATATCTGTGATTATATTGCATCATGTGACTTATGTCAAAGAAGAGGACGACCCAATACTAAAGAACCTCTTCATCCTATTCGAGTTGGACAACCTTTCAATCGAATAGGTATAGATATAGTAGGTCTGTTACCTGTTACTACAAAAGAACTACGATACATTGTAGTAGCAACTGAGTATTTAATGCGATAGCCAGAAGCATGTGCAATTGAACAGGCCGATGCTGAAACAGTGGCAGCCTTTCTATTTGAAGACATTATTTGTCATTACGGGAGTTCACGTGAGCTACTTTTAGATCAAGGAACTCATTTTTGTAATAAAGTGGTGTATGCATTGTGTAGTAAGATGAATGTTCAACGTTCTAAAGCAATGGCTTATCACCCACAAACAAAATGGGTTGGTTGAGCATTTTAATTAACATTATATGATGTATTAGCTAAGTGTATAGAACAATACAAAGGTGATTGGGATGATTATGTACCTGCTGCACTTTTTGCTAATCGAACGAACAGACATTCAGTTACCCAATATGAGCCTTTCTTTCTTATGTACAGTCATGATGCTTTACTACCTGTTGAAACTATTATTTCGACTTACCCAAACGAACCAATCACTGAGAAAGAAGTGCAAGATTTTTTGTTGAGACGAATAGAAAACTTAATAGGACAGTTAGTTGAATTGTGTTATCAGGCTAAAGCTAATATTACAAAAGCTCAGGATAAACAGAAAGCATGTCATGATCAAAGCCATCGGATAGAAAGTTATTCGATTGGTGACAAAGTGTTATTAGAACGTTCTTCTCTATTGACATCTTATAGTGCAAAGTTTGAATCTAAATTTACTGGTCCATATTACATTCATGATGTTTGTGGCAATGGAGCATACAAACTGCGAAAGATAACAAACGATAAGCCTGGTCAAAAAGAAAAGGTACTTAGAAAACTTGTACATGGAAATTGGTTAAAATGATATGTAGAGTCTCAAAGGGAAAAAAATCCTTTGACTTATAAATATGGCCCAAATTGACTCTTGTTCCCTTAAGTATGGAATCTTTTCAGGTATCCGCCCCTATCTTAAAACTTCTTTTAAAATTACAAAGATCTATTAGAGGATCCTCCGTAGAAGTTCTTAGTATTACTAATAATACTTTTGAGTTTCTCAATGATCAGAGAAAACAAGTTCAAGTTAGTTTTGCACCCGATATAAATAAAGAACTGTTGGAAGGAGACTGAATGCCTCTATTTATTGAAGATCTTCATAGGATAGGTAATCCTATGACAAGAATTAATAAGGTAGAGAGTGAAACTTGGAGTCAACAAATGGATTACCTTTGTATTCGACTTCAATTTTGTCGATTGGATCGTGCTACTTTACTTCGGTATTATTACCAGTTGGGGGAAAAGTTGGCTGCATATAATTGAAATGCCTATGCAAAAGAAGAAATGAGAAACCGATTTACCTCTGGACATTTTAAAAATGCTTTAAAGGTTGCTCGTCGTGCTTTTGCCTTATACCATACTCGAGATGCGCATAATTTGTTAACTACGCATCATTTATCTGCCAACGCTTTATTAGTAATGAGCACCGAGAACTTTAACATATTGCTTAAGGAGGCCTGGAAGGGAAGCCAAGAAGAAATTGTGCAAATATTAGACCTTGACTAAGTGTTCACAGAAGCTTACACCTAACGAGGGGGTATATCACGCTTTTTCCTTGAAAAATCATAACTGGTATTAACAAGAATGTGTATGTTCAGAAATTATGAAGCTGAATTAAAGGCCAAGGCTTAAAAGTTTAGATCTGTACAAATATTTATTCATTCATCATTTTTGTTTATTTTTATATCTGTAGATTTCTTTTATTTATTTGTTATTGTATGGCGTAAGGATTAGACATGTAC